ATGGTTTCTATTTTTCAGGATTGGGCTCATTTTTATTGAAACTAGCCTTAGCCATTGTAGTTCTCCTTTTTATTTCTGTGGAACATTTGGTGTCAGATGTTATCATATATCCTAGATATTTAAACTGTGTGACTTGTTTGATCTTTTCACCTTTGCTAATCTAATGAGATTACAACTAGGCTTTGCTGCTTTTTGGATATTACCATGCATTCTGTTTTCTTTACATTCAACAATAATCCTTTACGTACACTTTCTGTTACAACAGTATCTAGAAGCAATTGAATGTCCTTTTCGGAGGCTGCTATTAAAACTGTGTCATCTGCATGCCTGATGTTATTGATATTTTCTCCTTTTACTTTGAGGCCTGAACATTCTTCTATGTTTCTAAGGATTGTTTCACTGTACATGTTAAAGAGGTCTGGTGACATAACACATCCTTGCCTCACTCCTCGCCTGATCTGCTTATATTCACTGTATTCTCCATTAATTCGTACAGCAGCGTTTTGGTCCCAGTACAAATTTCTGATAATTCTTAGATATTTTAAATCTATGTATTGCTTTTCCAGTATTTTAAATAGCTCATCATGTCTAACTTTATCAAACGCTTTTGAATAATCTATGAAGCATAAATACAGATTTTTCTATGCTTCAATACATCTTTCCATTAACATTGTTAAGGTGAATATATATATACATATATATATATACATACATATATATACATACATATATATATATATATATATATATATATATAGATATATATATATATATATATATATATATATATATATATATATATATATATATATATATATATCATTTCTGGTGCCCATGTCAGGAACAAAGCCGAATTGCGTTTTAGATATCTCGGAACAAAGCCGAATTGCGTTTTAGATATCTCGGAACAAAGCCGAATTGCGTTTTAGATATCTCTGGTCTTGCACTTTTTCTCTATCTTCCCATTATTACTCGCAGCAATATTTTTTGTAAAATGACTCATAAGGCTAACTGTTCTATGCATATCACACTCAGTGGCACCTGTTGTTTTAGGTAAAGGTATAAAAACTGACTTCATCATATCTTCTGGGATTTCACCGCTGTCATAAATAGCATTTAGGAGCTTTGTGGTTATTTCAGTGCCTAGTTCTTCAAGCGCGACAATCACTTCAACTGGAATATTATCTGGCCCTGTGGCCTTTCCTTGTTTCATTTTCCTAATGGCAGATTGTACTTCTGCTTTCAGTATTGGTGGTCCATTTACCGTTTTTCTCCTCTATTATCTTTGAAAAGTTCTTCTATGTATTCTGACCATATGGTTAAGACATCCCCGTTGTCCATTAAAATATGTGAGGCAGCGTGGTGGAATCTGGCTCTCGTCAGTTTTTGGGCATATAGAGTTATTTGTATCATCTTAAAGTTTGTTCAATTGTCTTTATTTGGGTGAAAAAAATATCCATTTCTCTTGAATGCAAGTCGAGATATTTGCGAATGAAGGGGGTGGGGGTCACCTGTTTTCAGAGATAAGATTGGTGAGAAAATGGCTGCCAAAGATTAGTTATTTCCTTCCGTGGTAACTGAAAATTGACACTTTTTTGTGCCTTTATTCAACGTTTTTCAGAAAACCTACACAGAAATGAGTTCTTTTGGGCATGAAAGGTGTTGAGCCAAAAAAAACAAAAGTTTGATAAAAATTCACAAACCAGCGGAAAAATGCAAGTTTCTTCACTTTGATTATTTTGACGAGAGCCTGATTCCACCACGCTGCCTCACATACCCCTTCCCTTTGATCTAATGCATCCTGTATTTGAGCATCCTTTTATCCCACTTACTTCTTTGATTTTGGAATGCATGTATTTGCTGTCTTTGTCTTGGTTCTTCTCTATTTGTTGACACTGATCTTTTATCCATGTTTCTTTTGCTTCGTTGCATTTTTTCTTTATTTCTCTGTTTAAGATGGTGTACTTTTCCACTTTTGATTTCGCTTTTCTTCTCTCTTCCATTAGTTTTAATATGTCCTGGGTCATCCATTTTTATTAGCTCTTTTAGCTTTCGGGGGGATATTTTCTTCCACAGCTTCCATTATTGAGTCTTTCATTTTCCTCCATAGTTCTTCCGATGTAGTAATGTTTTCTAAGGCTTGAAATTTATTTCTTACATCTATGGAGAAACCTTCTTTCAGTTTTTGATTTGTCTTTAAAAGACTTATGTCAAATTTAGGTTGATACTTTAACTTTTTGAGTTTCTTTAGTCTTATCCGCATTTTACACATGACTGGTACATGGTCACTATCACAGTCTGCTCCTGGCATTGATTTAGATGATTTTATTGTTTTTCTAAAACGTTTCTGAATAAGCATGAAGTCTATTTGATTTCTACTTCTATCACCAGGACTCTTCCAAGTGTATCTTCTTCTTGGGTGATTTTCATACCAAGAGTTTGATATCATAAAATTATTTTCTCTGCACCATTCTACCAGACGTTCCCCGCGTTCATTCTCTTTACCTAGTCCCCATGGCCCAACTATATCTTCTATACGTGTACTACCTACTTTGGCATTAAAAGTCTCCCGTGACTATCTTTACATCTTGTGATTTTGATTGTTTCATTGCCTTATCAAGGTCTTCACAAAAAGTCTCAATTTCCTGGTTGTCGTGCTCTGATTTTGGTGCATATATTTGGATGACACCTATGTCAAAAGGTTTTCCCTCTAATTTAGCCACTATGACTCTATCTGACACTCCCCAAAAACCTTTGATGCTCTTTGCTGTTGCTTCGTCAAATAAAATTCCGACTCCTCTTTCCTCCTGAATATATAATTGTTTCGGATCCTCTTTTAATCAAGCCTGCCCCCTCCCATCTGAAAGGCCTAACATATTTAACTTCATCCTACCCATTTCCTGCTCTATATTATCTAATTTGCCTTTCTGGTACATTGTTCTTACATTCCATGTGGCGATGTTAAGTTGCTTATTTTTGCAGCTAGTAGCAGGATGACGATCGGGCGCCACCTGCTGCCCGTGGCGGTCCCTACCGAGCGGGGAGTTCAGAGCTGGATCATGAACCCCCTTAACGCTGCTATCTGATAAATGAATGTTCTTTTCCATGACTATTCTTGGGATGTTACAGCAGTGGTTTCCCGTTGCCTACTGCCGGTTTGTGTACAGTTTTCTCTGCTAGCCTTTGTCATCCATGGACAGCTCACAAGGCAGTGAGGGCTTTGGTAGGATTTATGGCGCCTCCCGTCGCCAAGATGGTCCTTTCTTCGAGTGTGTGAGGTATTTATTCGAGTGTGTGAGGTATTTATTGAAGTATTATTCGGAATCAGCGTCTCAAAATAAGCAAAATGGCTCGCGGAGAACCTGATTTGATGCGATACTATGTAAATGTTAGCAAATTATTTTATTTTAAAATGTTTATCGTCAGTAGTGAAGTTGTGTATCAATGTCACCCGGTGAAACACACTCACATACACACCCACACATCCACACACACACACAAACACACACACGTACACACACACACACACACACACACACACACACACACGCACACACACACACAAATATATAATTTAACTTCGTAATTGGGAATTGCGTTCCCCGCGTGATTTTAGCTAACTTTGGGTCACTGATCACGAAAATCTTATTATTTTTTATATTTGGACAAATATTTAGGAAATTTTGAGAATGCATTTTCAATCTCGCCGGGTGCAACAACAAAAAAGCCGCCTAATGGGCCGGATCAGTCCTGTCCTAGTGCGGTATCTGTTTTTGACAGGCAAAACATCGACGGTGGGACAGGACAGTCCTGTCCGAGACAAGAATGTCGTAGTGCGGTACTAGCGTATTTCTCTATAATCACAGACGATATTACCACAGGACTGGGATAGTCCCGCTCCACCGATTTTGTAGCTATTCACAACTGCTCAGGACTCAAATCGACAAAAATGTCCTATCCTAATAGGTGCGGTACATTACACTCTAATTCAAAGGTTTCAAAATCCAGACGGGTCTGTCCCAGGACAAACTGTCGTAGTGCGGTATTCGACTCGATCGCCTGAAACTGAAAACAAACACGTTTGTTTTTGAGGTGATCGATTCGGGCGATCGGGCTGATCGGCCGATCCCATCCGTAGTGGGCACCCCGTATTAGGTAGCTCCCAATGTTTACCCAAGTTGATTAATGGGGAACAATAAAAGTTCAGCTGCCGGTGAGGAAAGCGTGTGATTCGTCATAACTCAGTCCGTAAACCTAGTCCATAACAAGACAATTGAAGTCAACACAAACTCGCGACAGTGACCCATTTGTCAGTTTTTCCATGGCACTTGGCCTTCCTTGTCTCAATGTCTGACACATTTCCTTGTTTTGACCTTTCATGGAACCATCATTTTTTTTAAAAATAAGGATAAAACCAACGGCAAAAAGTCCCACAAAAACGCTCATATCCTCTCCCCCCTTAAAAAAAAAAAGAACTAAAATAACCCCCCCAAAAAACAACAAAACATTTTAATGAACCCAACGGTAGTCCTAAGCCTGCGACCATCACCTTCACTTGGGATCTAAGAAATATGGTTTGTTTTTTTCATTTTGATCAGTCCTGCGTATGACGGCCACCTGTCTTAGACCGCCACTTTTCTCCTCGACAATGCATGGCCGTCTTATACAGGTTCGACTATAGTTAAATTGCAGTTGAGGATTAATTCCTTGACTGAATAGGGGAAAATATCATCTTTGTATGGCTACCTAGCCTTGGGGCCATCTGAGGAAATAGGTAGGTCGATTTTCTGGAGAAGAAATCCCTGTCCCTTCTGTTGGGATCAACAGAAAACACCCTCCCACGGACAGACTTCAAAAATATTGCCAAAAGGTCTGTGGGAGGAACACTGCGGCAAACAAGAACAACTAACTCTACAATATTGTGCTCGAACAACATCACAAGAGAAACAGATGGAGATACACTCAATAAAATTTCTCCCACAAACAGAAATTGAACTTACGTCTTAGAGCACGCTTTATTCGACGGCTAAGAGCGTTACCACCTGTATTGGCTTGACTGGTGTTGGACACTTCTCCGAAACCTGCTGAATTCCATAAAAAGAAATTTTAACATTAAATGCACACCATCACAAAGAGCTTATCCAAAAATGTTGGAAACCCAAACAAAAGCAGGTACCCTTAAAATTCTGCTTGACAGTGAAATATCAGTAAAACTATATCATAGGATGAGACAAAAACACAATTCGTAACAGGTCCTGTGAGAAAGTATTTCCAAACTTTCAGCACTAAAAAAAAGCACAAAAAGCACCATCCGTGTTCGTAGTGTAAGAGTTACAAAATTTGCCCTATCACGATGATGATTTTAATTTTGATTTCTACAAAGTGAAGTTGTAATATTATCTTATCCTGTGTCTTGGGCCTCGCCTCTGGTCTGATTGCAGACATCACCAGCGACAGAGAGCCCAGCACAACATCTGACCCGGCACACTCTTCTTTTAACTCCGGACTTAAAGTGCAGAACCCCTCTGGCAGAAAGAGGAAGGTGAGCCATGTTTGTAGGAAGAAAAACTCGAGGCAACTGGCCGGAGCCACCAATTTTGGCTGAAAACAGTGTAACCTGCTCGTGCATGAGAAATGTGCGGCCAAACTGGCCGAACGCATAAACATGATAGTCCATAGCAGTTCAACATCCTAAAGAAAAGTGGTTCATTCATTTCAAGACTGCTTTGGAGACCAGTGACACAGTCATGAAAAACAGTCCGGGAGGAAGCAGGAAGCTTTAGACATCATTTGTATCCACACCAGAACTTTTGAGGATTTGTCAAATTCATATCTCGCGTAGAAAATCAGTGGCCAGTGTGCTTTTTCTGGTTACGTTTTAAAGAAAAATATTCTAATATTGTGCATATTCTTTTGTGAATTATTGTGTTTTCACTTTGGATTTATTGAGTCATCTTGAATTTTGAGCAAATATCGACGGGCAAGTAGGACCTGCTATTGTTCTGGATGTGTGAAATATTAACATTTATTGTTTTCTTTTTTGTGATTAATCCAAACGCACAGTCTTTTAATGTTTAGGCATTGTGAAAACAGTTTATATTGAGTACATATGCAAGGAAAAAAGGAAACAAATTCAAAATCTCTTCTTTTTTGTCCGATTTTCGTACATTCTGATAAACCAAAATGGGTGACCTTTTTCAAATTGACACAACTTCTGCAACAATTAATCATCATCATCAAAGCCTTTCACTCCTGGCAGGGTATAGGCCACATACAAGTTCCTTCCATTTATCTCTGTCCTGGGCCATCCTTCCAAGCTCGTTCCAAGTGAGCTTCATCTCTCTCATGTCCCTTTCACGCATCTCCTCCATGTTTCCCGTGGCCTACCCCTGCCTCGTGCTCCTTGTGGGTTCTAATGTAATGACTGTCTTGTAATGTTTCCGCTTGGCTTCCTTAAGGTGTGTCCCATCCATCGCCACTTTCTTAGTCCTATTTCTACTTCTGTATCCTTTTTCCGATCCTTTCCCACAGCTCTTCATTTCTTATTCTATCCTGCCACTTAATTTTTAGAATACTCCTCATACTGTCCCCGTGGTTTGATGCACCCCGCATAATTTAGCAAAATTTGATCATTTTTTGCATAATTTCTGATTATTTTCCTTTATCATTAACAGAATCGCTTAATTTCACATTTTTGGGCTAATTTTGCATAATTTCAGAATTTTTTTTCATAAAATGATGGGGACAGCTCATACATCTGTGGATGAAAGTCTGGACTTTATTCAGTACTGTCTTTGTTGTCTTCCAAGTTTCGCAGTCATAGAGGAGCACAGACTTGACGTATGAGTTAAAGAGTCGAATCTTGGCGCGCAGTGAGATGTTGCTTGCTTTCCAGACTTTTGATAATTGATTGAATGCTGACCTTGCCTTGGCGGTTCTTGCTTTAACATCTGCCTCGGTTCCACCTTTACAATCGATGACACTTTCAAGGTAGGCAAAGGAGTCCACTTCTTCAAGGGGAGTGTTTTCCACTGTCACGGCAGAGCTTGAAACTTTTCCTAACTTCACTACTTTTCACTTGTCTGGATGTATATGTAGGCCAACACTCCTTGATAGGCTGTTGAGTTCCTTGGTCTTTTCTTGCATCTGAGCATGTGTGTGTGAGAGCAGTGCAAGGTCATCGGTGAAATCCAAGTCGTCCAGCTGCTGCCAAGGAATCCACTGTATTCCATTACGCTAGCCTCTGGTGGCTTCTTTCGTGACCCTGTCAATTGCCAGTGTGAAGAGAAAAGGTGAGAGCAAGCATCCTTGTCGCACTCCAGTCTGTACCTGGAATGGTTCTGAGAGTTGTCCTTCGGGGAAGACTTGGCAGTTTGTTCCATCATAGGTGGCCTTCACAAGCTTGACGATTTTGTCAAGTATTCCATAATGCCGCATGAGTTTCCACAGTTTCCCTGTCCACGCTGTCAAACCCCTTTTCATAATCAATGAAATTGACCACAAGTGGTGAATTCCATTCAAGCGATTGCTCAACAATGAAGCACAGAGTAGCAATCTGATCCACTCATGATCGGTTTTTGCGGAATCCTGTCAGGTTTCCTCGGAGCTTCTCGTCTGTTGCCAGCTTGATTCTCTACAGGAGTATCCTGTTAAAGACTTTCCCAGTTATGGACAGGAGTGTAATGCCTATATAGTTGTTACAATTACTAAGGTCTCCCTTCTTTGGCAGCTTGATTTGGTGGCCTTCCTTCCAGTCATCCAGTATTAACGTTGTGGTTGTTAGCTGATAAAAAATTTGATGTTTGAAGGTTTTCTGTAATACAATTTCTAGCTTTAAAAAATCGTTCTTTCAGATTACTTAACATTTTTATAATACTCATTTAAATTGCACAAAAACCACATGAACACGTTCAAAACTCAACAAAAATATATCCTTTACATTGGATCAATCCGTAGATCAGTCCTATTGGAGACGGGCGTTAAACTAGGAGGTCCCACCCCTTAAATGACCTGATAGTGGTGACAGGGGCGTTAAACCCATACTATTTCAGCATTTCAATCCGTAAATAACAGAGCTACAAGCGTTTTAATGAGGCTACCCCAGTTTGCTTGTCCAATTGCTGAAGAACAAGTAAAATACCCAATACCTGGGGAGCAGCTTTCTGGAAAGGACCTTAGACTAACTTAGACAACAATGGGTTAAGTCATAGATACACAGACCATGGGGTCAAACGGTCATGCCAGCGGGGCAAAGGCCAAGAGCATGATCTTGTGTTTTAAACATTTCAGTAACCATAGGGAAAGGGGCATATCTTTACCATGAAACGAAAATAGAATAAAAAGTTTATAAAATCCTCCACAACTCAGTGGTTGCCCAATGCTTGTGTTGGCCTGACCTCAAAAAAGCGCCCCACGAGTAGCTGCTCTCGACCCCCTGACCCCATCCCCGCCAAACAAGCCATAAGTCTCCAGCATAAAATACGTTTGGGTGCCACTAGTCCTTTCATGCGAGAGGGGAAAATATAAAACAATATCAATTCTTAAAGAGCACTTATTCGTCTTACAACATACCTCCAAAACTTGAGGTGCTTGTATTAATTCCGGAGCCAAATGAAGAAGCTGTGGTGGTTACCTTGGCAAACATGCTACCCCCCGAACCGAACCCAGGACTGGTTGTAGTAACTTTTCCAGACCCACCAGGCTTTGCTACAAATAGGATGCTCTGAAAAGTATGTCCAGAAAACATATGGGGATATAAGGTATTAAAAACTCAAACCTCATTATACCACCTCCCCCCGGCCTCCCATGTTGCCACTCCGCTAACCGTTAGGTTTTGCCAGTATACAAAAAGGAACGCCTTATAAGCATAGTATTTGTGCCTTCCGCCATCTGCTGTCTGAATTGTGCGGTCCTAACTAAACTATAATGTAGATATTTGCCCCTTTGTAAGCTACCTCCTGCGAATTGGGCGCCAGAGGTACACACTACACACAGAACACAGCACCCATTCTGAATAATCTCTTTCTGAACTTTCTCACACACATCCTTGTGAATTCTACCCTTTTCTAGTGTTTGTCCCCAATTTGCTCATTTTTTTAGACTGATAATGAAAATGCTTTTATTATTTTCAAGCTTTGGCTAACATTATTTTTGAAAACAAAATTGGAATTAAATTTCAAAATGGCCTGAAGAAAATGCAAAGGAACTGTGCCATCTTGACCTGTCGGCAAAATATTTGGCATCATCAGATCTCAGCATGATGACCAAACGTTTGGCAGGCGCCCGTGAGGCTTTTGTATTGTGAGAATTCATGCTCATGTCTATGTGACGATCTGAGGCGGCCTGAGAATTGACGAGTATCGGATAAAAAAAAGACTGTATGTGTACAGGGTCCATGATACATATATCTAGCTTCAGATCCAGCAAAAAATTCAAGTAAAGTTCAGCTGGAGCTGTACATGCTGTAATTGGTTGTTACTTGTTTACCCCTGTTCATGGTAATCTCACTAGCAGATCTAGATTTGCTATATATGAGTCAAGACTGGCCACAGTTTGATTGTCTCTATTCTTTACCACTCTACCACTAGTCAAGACGGCAATCGGTGCTATCCCGTTATACCGCCATCCCCGCTGTACAGCCAACAACATGCTCAGGCAGTATGACAGGGTGTGGCTATATATATATATATAAATTAGAACACTGCTAACCCCAAAATACAAAAACATTTGATAAACTGACAAAATATTAAACCAATTTCAGAAAACAAAGATGAAGCAAATTAACGAAAGCAAATAGAACGCAACCAATGCATAAAACTCTAGTAGAAAGACCAAGTTCAAAATCATAAACCCATGGCAAAATTTTATGAATCCAGGGTCAACCTAACTTTATTATTCTCTGAACCAAGCTACTTCATTTTTTAAACTTTTCTCAGCTTCTGTTACCTTGAGGCACTGAGGGGAGAAGCAAATGTCTTTTCTCATTTTGCTGTGTCATTGGTTGCATGAATATTATATTGTTTTTGCTTAATGTTTCTCTGACCCCCCTCTATCCATCTTTTCCAGGGCCTGCCTTTTCAGTCTTCCTCCGTATCCATCTCTGGTTGTATGTTCTCACTTCTATACCAAACCATTTTATGCGTTGTTTGTCTAAGTACAGAGCGTCAAGCAAACTTGTTCTCTGACAATCTCGTTTCTAGCCCTGTTTCTTATTGTGAAGTTTAACGTTTTTCCTAGGTATTTCATTTTACAGATATCTATTTTACTTTTGTAACTCTTGTTTATGGTGCATTTTTGGGGGGTTTGGTAACAGTGTTGGTATGAAGATGCTGTTTAATGAGTTAACACTTTGTTTCCATAGTGATGTTGGGATGTGAAAGTAATGGTGCAAGTTGATAAGTCAGTGCACTTGTCTTTTTTTATTCTGGTTTCTAATTTTCCATCTTGGGTGAACATACTTCCCAAGTATGAGAACTCCTCAATTTGCTTGATCTTACTGTTGTCAACTGTGATATAAAGGTTCTGGTTTTTTTTGCTGATATTTAAAGTCATGAATGACAGCCTTACTGACTGTGATCATGAAAAGTCGTTTAGCTGAGCCTTTTAGATATATCAGCAGCTTTTTATACGTTGACCATCATATTCTATTGATGTGATATTACTTACAGAAGCCCACATGGGCCACTTACTGATAAAAACGATTAATAAGTGACAAATGCAGTTTCTGGGACAGTTGAATAGACATAAGGGCCTTGAACATCTAGCTTTCACTGACAAAATTGAAGGTAAATGAGGCAGCTCCACCTAAAGCAACTTACTTGGAGAGCCTAAACAGGTCGGTGACGGGGAAAGATCTGGATAATGAAGTAACTTTTTGAGAGCATCCAAGAAAAGGAATGAATGGCAAAACAAGATCGCCTATGTCCGTCACAGGTCTAGCATTCAACGATGCACACACACAGAGAGAGAGAGAGAGAGAGAGAGA